ATAAGTGGGTAAGTGATTGTGTGAATGTATGAGGGACTGATTAAGTAATTGAAAACACGAATGAGTGAGTAATTGAGTAAGTAATTGAGTAAGTGACTGAGTAAGTGAGTAATTGAGTAAGTGACTGGGTAAGTGAGTAATTGAGTTAGTTACTAAGTGAGTAATTGAGTAAGTGACTGAGTAAGTGAGTAAGTGAACGCATGAGCAAGGGAGGGAGTGTATGTGTGCGTGTATGTTTGTCTTTGTGCATGCGTGCGTGCGTGCGTCTATCTTAGTTCGCCCCCAATACCTTGACTTATTCATCTTTCCACTTATTGACACCACATTTTTTTCTCTCTCTTTCTCTCTCTCCCTCTTTTTCTCACCCGCTCTCGCCATGCAAATAACAATGGAAAACAAAAGACACGAAATGCATAAGAAGACGAAGGAGACAAAAGCGAAAAAGGAAACACGAATTCCTCGCCCATGACGCTCAACGAAGCAGGTGTTGGACAGGAAAAGGAGGATGAGAAATGCGTGGGCAGTGACGTCATGGGGGTGAAGATTCCTCATATATATGTGTATTGTGCGTCTTCGTTCCTCTTGGGGCGGGGGGGAGGGGGGTTAGTATTCCGTCTTATTCATTTTTTAAAAATATTTTATGTCTTTTGTTATATTTATCTGTTTATTATTTGTTATTATTTTTTATTTAGTTATTTTTCGGTCGGGTTGTTATTGTTGATTCGTTTTTTCTCGTAAGCTTCGTTTTTTTTATTCCTTCTCTTTGTCTTATTAATCAATGGTATTTTTTCTTCATTCTTCCTTATTTTTTTCCGATTCATTCCTCTTCTTTTAATTAATTTATTTTTATTGTATTTACTTATTTTTTTGTATTTATTTATTTATTTATTATTTTATTTTGTTTTTTATTTCATTATTATTATTTTTTTTTTTACTTCATCTTGTTCTCCTTCTGGTTTGTTCTCTTCCCTCCTTACCCTATCATCCTCTCTTTCTCGTTTTCTCGTTTTCCTCCTCTACAATATCATCAGCTTTTTCTTCTTTTTTTTCTTCTTCTTATTCTTCTTATTATTATTCGTTTCCTCTCTCTGTCTTTTCCTTCCTTCTCTTTCCTTTGCGACAAAGCGCGGTGTCCTGCAAACGAGGATCGGCCAAAGTATTTCCTCTTTATTCTTTCTTGATAGTATAGATGAGGAATATTCATGTATGGCGATAACAGAGGGACGTTCCCCGGCCTTCACCCCTTTTGTGTTAATAATCACCGCTCGTGGCAAGCAGAATGAGCAAGCTGTATCGAGAGAAATGAGTGAATAGGCTCGCGCCCACACACGCATATATATGTGTGTGTGTATATATATATATATATATATATATATATATATATATATATATATATATATATATATATATATATATATGTATTATATGTCTTTATATATGTATGTATGCATGTGTATATGTATATATATGTATATATATGTATATATATGTATATATATGTATATATATGTATATATATGTATATATATGTATATATATGTATATATATGTATATATATGTATATATGTATATATATGTATATATATATATATATATATATATATATATATATATATATATATATATATATATATGTATGTATGTATGTATGTATGTATGTATGCATGTGTGTATGTGTGTGTATTTGTGTGTGTGTGTAAGGAATGTATGCATATATGTGTATATATTAGAAAAAAGTCTTCATGCCTGGTGCAGAAGAGTCCCTCTGGCGAGACAGGAACTTCGCGTCGTTGCTTCTGCCGCAACGAGGCTCGTCTCCAGGGGCCTTACTGGGGCGTAAATTTGTGCTTACTTTTAGTTTCCTTTTTTGGTGTCACTTCTAATTATTCCAATAAATTCACTTCCTTATTTATTTCCGGCATTAGAGGTGAAACTATCGGCAGTACGTATTTCGAAAGTCGACCAGTGAGTTTTGCAGAAGCCACATTTCACGCGTTTTGAAAATGGAAGCCAGAGAGATCGAAAAATATGAAAACAAGGGCCGGGGACTTTTCGCCTGATTGTGTGAAAGCGTAAACACGGCTGCGCGTGCGAAGTCCTCGGTTCATATGCGTTCGGTTATGTAGAGTTGTGTTCATGTGTAAACACGAGCGCATGTGTACGCGTGCGTCGCTTGGCTTTTGCACAGGCCTGTTTTTTTTTGTTTTAAAGGATATGTTGCGAATTTGTTTCTTTTGGTTTATGTTGATTTATATTCCGTATTACAGGTTTGATTTGGTGTGTGTATATATATTTGTGTGTATCTAATTCTGAATAAAATGGAAACTGGTCATATGTATCTAATGTTATAGATTTCACCATCAAAAACTATAACGAGAGATTTACGGCTGCAATAGCTCACAATACAGTCAGATGATACGCTATGCTCTGATTCCTAATGCAACGTGCTTTAATTTCCCATATACGTTCCTAACATGTTTTGTGTACCTCTCCTTGCAGCCGAGTTCCCGTGCGTGTCCGATGGCGAGTGTCCCCAGGATAGGTTCTGCCTGGGAGGCGTGTGCGTGGACCCCTGCCCTATCCTCACGCCCTGCCTTGGGGTGCTCAAGGGGGGGCAATGCGTCTCCAAGGAGCACCGACCCGTGTGCGAGTGTCCGGAGGGAACCATCGCCAACTCCGCCGACGACGTTTGCATCAGCGTCAATGACACCAAGACAGGTGAGGGGAGGAGGAGGAGAAGGAGGGGAAACGGATGGGAGAGGGAGGGGAAGGGGAGGGAGAGGGCAAGGGTATGGAAGGGGGGAGGGGGAGAAGGGAATGGAAAGGAAAGGGGGAAAGGGGAGGGTATTGGTAAGGAAGGGAAAAGAATGAGAGGGGAAGAGCTAAGGAAGGGGAAAGGGAAGGCGAGTGCTCATAGGGGAGGAAAGGAGAGTAGAGGAGAGAGGAAAGGAGAAGGGGACGGAAAAAAACATAGGTTGTAGAGGTAAGGCAAACGGAAAGGGTGAAGGGAAGGAAAGAGCAAGAAAAGGGGAAGGAAAAGGAAGGTGAGAGAACACATGGGAAGAGAAAGTATGTTAATGCAGATAGGAAGAGAGGCGTGGTTAGACAGATAAGGTAAATGAGCTCGTGGGTACACAGGTGAGGCGAGAAAGAGAAAAGGGAGAAAGGAAAGAGGGAGTAGACTTGCCAGTAGACTCAGTAGTGTGAAGGAACTCATGATAAGGGCGAGGGAATGGGGGGGGGTGTAGCCGGGGAGGCGGAGGGCGTGGACCCCGGGCGATCGAGACAGAGATGGGCGGACGCGGAATGGGTAGGAAGCTCCATAAGTTTTTGGGCAAAGGGAAAGGGAGGAGGGGGGCGGGGGAAGGAGGAGGGGGTGGGGGAAAGAGGGGGAACTAAAGAAGGAGATGGGAGATGAGAAGGGGACGAAGGAACTGGGGGAAAGGGAGGGGGAGAGGAAACTGGGAAGGAGATAGGAGAGAAAAAAAAACTAGGGACGGAAAGGAAACTGGGAAAAGAGGGAGGAGGGGAAATAGAAGCAGGAGTGGAAGATTGGGAGTCGAGGAGGAAAGGAGACAGACGAAGGGAGAAGGAAGGGGAAGGAGAAGAAGGAGAAGGAGTACCCAAAGTTAGGATGATTAAAACAACGAAGGAATAGTTTATGGTAATTTCAGTAAAAAAACAAAAAACAAAACAAAAAAAAAAAGACTCATCAAAAGGGGCAAACGTAGCTTTTCTGGTCATCAAGCGGACCATTGATATAAGATGCAGTTTGTAAGATTGTTTTTATTGTTGCATGTGGGACCAAGAGGAAGGGCAGGGTAGAAGGTGCTTCCCAGTATGAAATTAAGAAGCACGGAAGTCGGGAATTTATTTTTAAGCCATGTTGTTTCTTGTTTTTTTATTTATATATATAGAATCTTTGTTTATTTGCATGTGAAGTATTGCTGCAACTTGCATATTGACTGCCGCTTCTTGTAGAGTATTGCATGATGTTTGCATTGCACAGTTAAGTCCAGTAAGCTTGCTTGAATATTTTTGTTCACCCCCCCTAATTTATTAAGTTACGCCTGTCATAATTTCTCTGTGTCTAATCTCTCTCGTTTTCCGCTCTCTCTCTCTCTCTCTCTCTCTCTCTCTCTCTCTCTCTCTCTCTCTCTCTCTCTCTCTCTCTCTCTCTCTCTCTCTCTCTCTCTCTTCTCAGAACCTGATTCGAAGTACACTTTGCATCTCTCTCTCGAATCCGCACATTTTGCTTCACTTCGCATGATATCTTCTCCCCCCCCACCCCCCACCCCTACACTTCACCCCCCCTCTCTCCCCCACGCACTCACCCGCGAACGCACTCTGGCTAAATCGCATTTCTTTAGCTCATTTTCACCCCCACGCACCACCACACACCACCACCACCTCCTCCTCACCACCACACCGTCACCACCAAAGCCAACGCCCTCTCTCTCTCACACACACACACTCCCTTATAACTTCACGTACTTTTACATGAGCATGTCCGCGGAAACACCCTCACTGTTAAACGCGACGATGTATGTCAGTATTGGGACGTCAGGCGAGTAGACATCCTTTGTGACTTCGTAAATTTGATGTAAGACGCGTACGATCTTCAGAGTGAGATTTAAAAAAGATAAAATAAATTGTATGCGTTTTGCTCTGACTCTGTAATGTAGTGAAGTATGTCCTGTATCGTAGCGTAGGCTGTATGTCTGTACTGTATTGTAATGTAAAGAAAAGCCGTAGTGAGAATGTACTGTAATTTAGTGTAATCTGTATGTCTGTATTGTGCTGTAATGTAATGAGATGCTATAGTGCGAATGTAATTTAGCGTAAGTCGTATGAGTGTACTGCGCTGGCATATATTGCTGCGAAAGTACATTGTATTTTATAGTAAATGACTTTCTGTATGTTTGACCTTATCGGTACTTAGTGCTGTATATGTGTACTGTTCTCTTGTTAGAGTATTATTGAGGTACAGAGTGTTAAGTTTTTTGGCTGAAGTACACACAAAACTGTACACACGACCGTACCACTGTATACCACTACTGTTACCTTATGCCTCTGTATTAAGCACTTGTGTAAACAGGTCGAAGCTTATGATTATGTCACTCAAATGAGATGAGATGTCTGTGAACACAATGTGCTTGATGCCAGGTGTAGGTGAAAATACCTTAGATTTAAGAATTGGGACTGCAGACATAATGCTTCATTTACAATAGATTTCCACTCTAGTTTACAATGTAACGGTAGATTGAGCTTCAGTGCAGACTGTTTTATAAAACCTAGAAGCATAATGCACTTCTAGAATTTTAGAGCTGACACAGTTTACTACTAGTCGAAGTACCAGAGACTTACCCTAGACGGCAAGGACCTGTTTAGCACACCTGGAACCCGCATGTGATTGGCGTTGGAAATGTTAATTGTTTTCAGGTCCAACTTGTCATTTTAATTAGCAAACTTAACTGGAAGATTTAACCAGCACTCAAGCTGCCAGTTTTAGCCAATATCTAATACCATTGATTTACTTTAGATAACATCGTTAATATATCCCGTTTTTTCACTCACTGCTTTACAAATAATGGATTAACATATTTACGGCTAACGATTTGTCATGATAGAGTTCTGGTGGCAAATAATACATGTAACGTCAATTGTGAAGTAAATTGCTAGCACTTCCTCTTCCTGGAGGAGGTTCTAGCAATGGACACGCACTTAGCGCGGTGTTCTGCAGGCTGTGAGCACGACGGCCGCTTGTACGCCGTGGGGGAGACCCGCTACCTCGGCAAGTGCGAGGAGCAGTGCCGCTGCGGCGCGGACGGTAAGTTCAGCTGCGGACCCGTCGCGTGCGCGCCTGGGCTCTTCCCCGCGGGCCAGCACTCCCAGGAGGAGCTCTGCATCGAACTCAGGAACCGCCCCGATACCGACGAGTGCTGCGTGGTGGTGGCGTGCGTGAACAGCCTGACGAGGCCGTCCCTGCTCACGTCGCCCGCCAGCAGCCCGCTGACGCTCGCCACGGAGGAGGAGCAGCCGCTTGCCCAGGCCGTCCGCGCGCTCTCGGGGCGCACGGCCGGGGGCGACGACCTTGCGGAACCCATCACCGAGGAAGAGTACCAGAGGAGACTCAAGGACCTCGAGCACGAGCTCAACAAGAACAGCAAGAAGAAAGCGCCTTTCGAGAAACCGACGGAGAAACCAGCGGTCGAAGAACTTACCAGTCCCTCATCAGTTGATTCTCTCAATGCCACCGCCGCCGATGGTGTCGAATCCGGCGTCGACGTAACGGAAGAACTCCCGCAGGACGACGAATCCGTCGTCGACGTAACGGAAGAGATCCCTCAGGACGACGAATCCCTCGCCGAAGTCACAACCACGATCCCCCAGACGCCCGACGAGAAGGGGGAGCCGGCCGTCATCGTCGAGATCGACCACCACGGCGAGGAGATTCACCGCATCACAGTGCAGGAGGCCGTCGATGTCGTCACCGTGGCCGCCGCGGAGGAAGAGGCCACGACGATGACGCCGACGCAGGACGAAGGAGCTGCGCCAGAGGAGTCTGTGGGAGAAGAGACAGTTAGCTCGATAGTGCCAGCAAAAGAGGAGGAGGCGGTGACGTCAGCCGTGCTCGCCGAAGGGGAAGACGCTCCCACACCGGCGGTGTCTGTCGAAGAGGGAACTACAACGGAGATGTCTGTCGTGGAGATGCCGGCTGATAAGAAGGAAGATGCAACGCATATGAATGAGGAATCAACACCCGCTGATAAAGATGAAGAAACAACGTCAGCTGATAGAAAGGAAGAAGGAACACCTGTAGAGGAAGAGGAAGTGAGCGCTTCACCAGCAGCGACGGCGGAAGAGGAGGAAGGCCTCACGACGGAAGCTGCAGAGGAAGTCGCGACGACCACTGCAGCTCCAGCAGAAGGCGAGGAAGTCCCCGTGTCCTTCAGGGAAGCCAAAAAAGCTCCAGGTAAGGGCACGAAGGATGTGCGGGTCTGGGCTGGACACCAACCGCACCAACACCCACACGACAAATAACCAACGACCGCATCCGGGGCGTGACGACCTCGTGTCTGACCAGGAGGGGTTAATGCTTCAGAGATCCCAAATTGTTATCTCGGGATTTCACGAGATAAGATAACTTGTTCCCATCATTAACAGACCCAGGCATGCTGCACCTGCACACCTATGATCGCTAGAGCCGTAGCTAGTCTGGCAATTATCTTGATTCACTCAGTCACGAAACCTCCGACACGCACATACGTAAAGTAATGAGCCTTGCTTATCGCAGTTTATCTCAAGCTTAACACGATTCGATTCTTTTCTTCCAAAACATGGCATTTAACCCTCTTGCTTCACTGGTTCTCGAGACCACCTTGGAATCAAACAATATAGCTTATCTCCTCTCGACTTCATTTAATCATTACCTTGGAATTCTTATCACGAAGGTCTCACGGGTCTTATCAAAACAGACTTACCACGAGAAGATTCTCTCTCTTTTCTACTCTCTTTCTCCCTCCCTCTCTCTCTCTCTCTCTCTCTCTCTCTCTCTCTCTCTCTCTCTCTCTCTCTCTCTCTCTCTCTTCTCTCTCTCTCTCTCTCTCTCTCTCCCCCCCCCCTCTCTCTCTCTCTCTCTCTCTCTCTCTCTCTCTCTCTCTCTCTCTCTCTCTCTCTCTCTCTCTCTCTCTCTCTCTCTCTCTCTCTCTCCTTCTCTCTCTCCTCTCCTTCTCTCTCTCTCCTTCTCTCTCCTCTCTCTCTCTCTCTCTCCTTCTCTCTCTCTCTCTCTCTCCTTCTCTCTCTCTCTCTCTCTCTCTCTCTCTCTCTCTCTCTCTCTCTCTCTCTCTCTCTCTCTCCTTCTCTCTCTCTCTCTCCTTCTCTCTCTCTCTCTCCTTCTCTCTCTCTCTCTCTCCTTCTCTCTCTCTCTCTCCTTCTCTCTCTCTCTCTCCTTCTCTCTCTCTCTCTCTCTCTCTCTCTCTCTCTCTCTCTCTCTCTCTCTCTCTCCTCTCTCTCTCTCTCTCTCTCTCTCTCTCTCTCTCTCCTTCTCTCTCTCTCTCTCTCCTTCTCTCTCTCTCTCTCTCTCTTCTCTCTCTCTCTCTCTCTCTCTCTCTCTCTCTCTCTCTCTCTCTCTCTCTCTCTCTCTCTCTCTCTCTCTCTCTCTCTCATTCTCTCTCTCTCTCTCTCTCTCTCTCTCTCTCTCTCTCTCTCTCTCTCTCTCTCTCTCTCTCTCTCTCTCTCTCTCTCTCTCTCTCTCTCTCTCTCTCTCTCTCTCTCTCTCTCTCTCTCTCTCTCTCTCTCTCTCTCACCTATTTTCTCTTTTATTTGCTGAAACATTTTTTTTATTTCCTTTATGATTATAAGGAAAGTAATCACAGGGTATACACAATCCTGACTTTAGTCATGCCTCGCTTTTAACCTTTTGTAAAAGAAATTAAATCTAAAAAATCACGTATACCTCCACATGTTCTCTTCTGTTGACTATCCCCTCAGCTATTTATTTTTTAAAACAATTAAACCCCCGATTTCTGCTATTCACGATATAGATACTGACCAATTCCTTTATTTTCGGCCACAGAAGAGACGAATATTACGGAGACCGTCGCTGAGGAACCAATCAGGCCCAAGGAGAAGGTAAATAAATCCAGGTCGAGTTCGGTAGTAAATCCGGGTTGGGCTTTGGCTTTTATATTTCTTGTTGTTTCGTGTTATTGTCCTTTTTTTTGTTAAATCTGAAGGATTTATCTAAAGCATTCTTGAAGATGTGATGGATTGAAATGTGCCTTTTACAAAGAATTAGGCTTGTGTGATTTTAGAATGTATATTTGTATATATAAAAACATAAATACAAATGTCGATTAAAAAAAAAAGATTATACATCAAAAGATTAAAAGATTATCTAACTTAAGTTATCCTTCATTACATTTTTTTAGAAAATGACTGAATGCAAACAAAACTGCACCAAACATTTATAATGTCAAATAAAAACACATAAATACTAAAATGTCGACTACAAACAAGACACGTGATAAATCCTCGTATGTAATTCCCCCCACCTCTTTTTCTCTTCCTCTCCCCCCCCCTCTCTCCTTACCCCTTACCCTATACCCCCTACCCCTTACCCCCTACTCCACGCCCATTTACCCTCCCCAAAAGGACCCTCTGGCCAAGGGCAGCGTGGGCGGTCTCAAGGTAATTGCCACCACCCACAACTCCTCGACTGTGCTTCTTCCGTCGACCAAGGGCGGCGAGATCTACTACAAGGTATGAGGGATTTGCTTTCGGTTCTGTTGTTTGTGTTGTTTGGGAGAGAGAGAGAGAGAGAGAGAGTGAGTGTGTGTGTGTGTGTGTGTGTGTGTGTGTGTGTGTGTGTGTGTGTGTGTGTGTGTGTGTGTGTGTGTGTGTGGGTGCGAGCATGCGTGATAATCAGAACAGGGTGGAATGAGAAAGAGAAAAGATGGTAATATATTGAGCGAAACCGAGACAAAAAGAAAGAAAAATTAGCAAGGGGAATTAAAATAGTAATACCCGTTCTCCCTCTTATTCCTCAGCCCCATGACAGCGAGGACTGGCAGCGCATGACCGTGCAGGCTGGCGAGGACTCCCTGGCACTCAAGGGCCTCGTCCCCGGCACTCATTACAACGTCAAGTGGTCCGGCGTCTCAGGGGGGTCGGCCAAGGAGTCCCTCGACACTCTGGGTAAGTTGGGTGGATGTGTGTAAGAACGCGCAAGGGGAGATGGAGGTATACAGTCATGTGCACACGCTCGCAGGTACGCACATACATGCAGACAAACAAACACAAACGAATAAAACACAAACAAGCAAATACATACACCCTTTTGCGATTTATTCAGACACAAGAACCGCACTGAATCCCCCCCCCCCCCTAAAAAAAAAAAAAAAAAAAAAGAAAAAAAAGAAAACGGCAACAGCTTTTCTTCGTATAATGCGGATGACAAACTACACCTTTGCATTATCCGCCAAGTCATCAATCATTAGTCATTCTAATCGCTCGTAATTCAGTGCTGTCGAATCTTCTTTTGTGATTACTTTATCTGGTAATTGTGTCTTCCGCCTTCCCTTTGATTACGGTATCAAATTAAGTTGATTGTTGATTGTGAAGGAAGAGGTTTATTTTTTTATTTTTCTATCGTCAGTCTCAGTTATATATTGTGTGTATCTCTCCCCCTAGATTATTGTATAATATTAAAGTTATTAACTATAGGAATGAAAAGAGTTACTGGCATGCTCCATAGCTGTGTACCATGACTGGCATACACTCGATGGCATTTCTCAATTTCGTCATGCCTTTTTCGGTGGCACAGAAAGACACATGGGTATATTAGACGCACCCCTATTTGAGAAGGGAATTTCCAATTTTATTATAGTTTTTTTCATGTTATTACTCTTATTGTTATTTTTTTAAGAGTACGTAACTTCGCTCGGAAGAAGCAGGGCGATTTTTTTTTTTTTTTTTTTTTTTTTTTTTTGTGGGGGGGGAGGTGGAGCTTTTATGCCAATATATATTTTTCTCTTATATGTCAATTTAAGACAATGATAATGATAGTAATATTGATGATAGTAACGATAGTAATGAAAAATGATACTGATAATAGTAATGATAGTAATTGTACTACCAATAATATTACCAATAACAACAACAACATCAACAACAAAACCTGGCGAGGGGGACGAGCGGGCGCCCGCCGTGACCCCGATGATTAAGCCTCACCAAAACGACCGCGTCACTTCCTGCAGAAGCATCTTCGTAGGGCAGCGACAAACACCGCCACACCACCTTATGGCAACAAGGTCGTCAACCAACTGTGAAATGACGGCAGATTCGTCCATAATGAAAGGCCCTGGGGATAGGTGGGTGGGAGGGGGGCGAAAGGGTGCTTTAGGGCGTTCCATCGAGATAATTTTTTTTTTTTCCTTAGCTTCAGGGGGGTATTTATATTTCATGTACTGGAAGGCGTGATGGTGATTTTGAGTAGTCCTTGATAAAAAAAAAGAGATTTATAGCCTTTTGGTTGAGCGGGGGGGAGGGGGGTAATATTTTTTTCACTCTCTCACTGTATATACATCTTCTGCTGCCTCCTCCTTCAGCACATAATTATGGCTGTCAAATGCTCGTTTTATTACCTAGTGAAGGACAGTTCGATTTTTCTGAAGTTAAATAGAGAATATGAATATATATATATATATATATATATATATATATATATATATATATATATATATATATATATATATATATATATATATATATAACTTTTCTTCTTCCTCTTTTCTTTCCTTATTTGCTTTTCTTTTCTTTTCTCTCTTTTCTTTCTTTTCTTTCTTTCTTCCTTTCTTTTTGAGAAGGGGGGAAGGGGGTTAGGAGCGAGTCGTCAGGCGTTGCGGATCGTCGCGGCGTCATGCGTGCTTAATGCTTTGTGCATGATTTCTCGAGGCTGATGAACTTTCTCACGGCGGAGTGTTCGGACTAATTATGATTTCATGAATGAGAAGATTGAGGTTATGAGGAGTGCAAGCGGCGATGGAGAAGATTTTTTTGGGAGGGATTGTGGATCATACTTTCAAAATTTTCGTCTTGGAAGTGTATGTTTTTTTTTTATATAGATTTTTTGGGGGGTTAAGAAAGTGGGCTTTTGTTCTTCCTAAAAAAAAGGCTGTTAACAATACCCATTTTTATACTTTTTTTCTCTCAAGCTATGAAAAATTTGTATACATAAAAGCAAAAATACTATATGAGCAAACAAAAACATGAACCGTTTAATAGCAAAGGCATATTCAAAATATACAATAAAAACATATAGTAGATAAAATCACACATAAGTTTATTTAGAAGAAAATTAAAGCAAACATACCCCTTGCACGAATCTCCAGGCATAGATAACGCCAAATTCTAACAACTATTAATAACAATAGAACTTACAACATCAATTAAAGGGAAAATAAATAAAACAATCGAGCATCAGCATAACACCAGAAGCCCAGCGACTAATCAGCTGATGGCACTGTTCCAGAGGGGTGCCAAGCGGAGAACGCGAGCTACGGCGTGGGCCAGGAATGGACTGAAGGGTGCCAGAAGAAGTGCTCCTGCTCTCCAGGGGGCGTGGCCAAGTGCGAGCCCAGGTGTCGCTTCGTGGCGGGACAAGGGGTGAGTTTTGCTTAATGGTAATGGTAGTTGGTAGTTGTGATGTGTAATGAATATTGGAAAGATGTGATAAGATGTAATTATTAGTTTCATTATCATCATCATCATCTTCGTCATCATCGCCGTCACCATCATCGTCATCATAATTATCATTTTCGTCATCATCATCATCATTATCGTCATCATCAATCATTATCATCACTTTCATCATCATCATTATCTTCATCATCATCATAATCTTCGTCATCATCAATCATCATCAACTTCGTCATCATCTTTGTCATAATCTTCATCATCTTCGTCATCATCAATCATCATCATCTCCGTCATCATCTTCGTCATCATCAGAGCAACCGTCACCATCGCCATTACGCTCCATTTTTGGTGGAACCGGATTACAGACCCTAATTACGGTATACTCTGCACCACTCCCCTCATTTGCGTCCTGTTTCACCTCCCTTTAGTTTCGTAGAACTCTAGATTTGTTCCTTTTTGTTCCCCTGTTCTTCTACTTCTTCTTCTTTGTTTTTTTTCTTCTTCTTCTTCTTCTTCTTCTTTTTCTTCTTCTTCTTCCTCTTCTTTCTCTTCCTGTTCAGCTTCTTCTTCCTCTTCTTTTCCCTCCTCCTCCTCCTACTTTCTTCCTCTTCTCCTTTCTTCCTCTTCTCTTCCTCCTCCTCCTCCTCCTCCTCCTCCTCCTCCTCCTCCTCCTACTTTCTTCCTCTTCTCCTTTCTTCCTCTTCTCCGCTTCCACCTCCTCTTCGTTAGCCACCTCCACCCCGCCCTCATCCCCTCCCCCACCTCCACCACCACCACATCATCCCTCCTTCACCTCTCCCCCCCCCCCACCCTCCACCCCCTCCTCCTTGAGCTAGCGCGAAAACCTCGAAAATTTTCCTTTTAAAGTTTTCAAACGCATTTCCCCGCCTTAACCCTTTCCCCATTTGGCGAGCGCGGTTTTTGCCTCGGGAGTCACGACAGGAAACTCAACTTCCTCCAGTAAGAAGGAGGAGGAGGAGGAGGAGGTGGGGGAGGAAGAGGAGGAAGAAGAAGAAGAGGAGAAGAAGGTGGGAGAGGAGTAGGAGGAAGAGGAGGAGAAGAAGAAGAAGAAGAAGAGAGGAGGAAGAAGAAGAAGAAAAAGAAGAAGAAGTAGAGTGGAGGAGGAGGAGGAAGAAGAAGAAGAAGAAGAAGACGAGGAGGAAGAACAAGAGGGGAAGAACAAGGAAAAGGACGAGGAGGAGGGTAAGAAAAAAAAAATAGGGAGAACAACAAGAGACAAAGAAAAGAAGACAATGCAAACCGTCAGTCCTTTCTCCGTCCAAGAAAAGAAAATCTTCAAGATCATGATAAAACTCCAGTTCGCGGAGAGACAGCTGTCGGCGCGTTCGTCTTCTTTGCGACGTCTTCAAACTACTCAAAAGATCTTCTCATTATAATATTTTGCCTTCGACTGATAAAATTTTTATATATATGTATGTACATGTGTGTGTGAGTGTGTGAGTGTGTGTGTGTGTGTGTGTGTGTGTGTGTGTGTGTGTGTGTGTGTGTGTGTGTGTGTGTGTGTGTGTGTGTGTGTGTGTGTGTGTGTGTGACTTTAACTTGAATAAACTCCTTCCAGACGAATTATATACGTGAGGGGTAAGGAATAGGAAGAAGAGGAGGAGGAGGAGGAGGAAAAAGAGAAGAATGAGAAAAGGAGAAGAAGGAGGAGGAAAAATGAAGAATGAGAAAAGGAGAAAAGGAGAGGAGGAGGAGGAGAAGAAAAAAAGAGAAGAATGAGAAAAGGAGAAGAAGGAGGAGGAAAAATGAAGAACGAGAAAAGGAGAAGAAGGAGGAGGAGGAAAAAATGAAGAATGAGAAAAGGAGGAGAAGGAGGAAGGAAAAAAAGAAGGGTAATTCTTTTCTTCCGCGCGCAATAACCTGTGACGGGAAGAAGGTTCGAGGAAAAGCCTGCTGTCTCGAAGGTGGCATTTGGAGGTTTATCATCACCACCACGGACATCACTATCACTGCCATTATCATCGAATAACACTATTATAATCACCACTAATAGCATAATCATCATCTCCATCATCTTCATCATCATCATCATCATCATCATCATCATCACCACCACCATCACCCCTACCCCACCACTACCACAATCATCACCCCCCCCCCACACTATCACCCCCCCCCACCACCATCACCCACCCACCCCCACCACCACCACCACCACCCCACCCCCACCATCACCCCACCCCACCCCCACTATCATCACAACTCACCACTCTTTTTTCTCTCTCCCCCCTCCCCCCCCCATCTCTCTCTGCCAGGACCCCTCTTGCACGGAGATCCCCGACGCCGAGGACCCTGAGTGTTGCGTCATCTGCAAAGGAACAGGTAAGTCTGTCTGTTGCAGGAGTGAGTGAAGAAAGGGGAGTGAAGAGAGTGTGAAGGAAGGGAAGGATAAGAAAGAAAGAAGGAATAATGAGAAAGGGAAGGTTTAAAAAATAAGGAATTATGAGAAAGGGAAGGATAAAAAAGAAAGAAGGGATTATGAGAAAGGGGAGGGATAAGAAAGAAAGAAGGAATTATGAGAAAGGGGAAGGATAAGAAAGAAGGGATTATAGGAAAGGGGAAGGATAAAAAAGAAGGAATTATGAGAAAGGGATAAGAAAGAAGGAATTATGAGAGAGGGAGGGATAAAAAAGAAGAGATTATCGGAGAAGGGAAAAATGAAAAGAAAGAATTATGAGAATGGAAAGGATGAACAGAAAGAAAGAATAATAATAAAGGAGAAGGATGAAAAAAAAGAATTATGAGAATGGAAAGGATAAATAGAAAGAATTGTAAGAAATGAAAGGATAGAAAAAATAAAAGAGAATTTTCAGAAAGGGAAGGATAAAAAAAAGAATTATGAGAGAAGGAGGAATAAAGAGAAAGAAAAAAATACAAGAAAGTGGAGGTTAAAAAAAAAGAATTATAGAATAGGGAAGAGTAAAAGGAATGAACGATAGAAAAAAGGAAAAACAATAAAAAAATCAAAAGAGGTGAAAAGAAGGAAGAAAGATAGAGTCTTCTTTTGGAGATGATTTCTAAAAATAGATTTGGATACCACGTGCGTTTTCGTGTTTTTTCTTTCTCTCTTTGTATAGTTTTTGTATTTATTTGTTTGTCTGTGTATTATTATAGTTATTATTATTATTATTATTATTATTTTACTATTATATTTTTCTTTATTTTTATTTTTATTTTAATATGGAAGAAGGATGGGAGAGTAGATAGGAGAAGCGAGAGAAAAATGGGGGGAAAGCAGGAGAAGAATCACATGACGATAGAATAGGGAGAAAGAGAGATGAAAGAAGAATAAGAGGAAGGGGAAAAGTCATAGGACGAGAGAGTAGGCAGAAGGAGAGGCGAAGGAGGTAGGGCGCTCGGCGGAGGGTCAGGGATCAAGGTTGTGGGAACGAAAATGGGAAGAGGGATAGACGGGGAGAGGCGCGGAGGGGAAGGAAGAGGAGAGAGAGAGAGAGGGAATTGGGTGGGAGGAAATGCAGAGAAGGGGGGTGAAAGAGGGAGGAAAGGAGGGAATTGGGGATAATGATATATGAAGAAAATGACGTATTCGATCTCTCACTCTCTCTCTCTCTCATACACACACACACACACGCGCGCACACACACACACACACACACACACACACACACACACACACACACACACACACACACACACACACACACACACACACACACACACACACACACACACACGTTGCTGGGTAAGGGAGGCATGCGAGGGTCATCATCATCACCACCAGTACTCGCGGTGTGTCCTTGAGCAGCACAGACCCAGCTCACTCACCCACCCACCTCACGCCCGCGCCGCATCTCAACACCATCGCTTGCATTACCACTAGGATCATCACCACGGCTAGGGTTACCATTAACGTCATTATTTTTGTCATTTTGTCATCACACCAACTCGTCATCACCCCAACATCAACACTTTTTTTTTTTTATATAAGTCGCGCCTCGCTTCAACACCGCCCTGCCATCACCACTACCGGTGCCGGGCCTTACCTCAACACCACATGTATCACCACCACCAGAGTCACCACCTCTGCCATCAACACCACCACACACACCACCAAACGCCCGTGCTTCACTTCAGCACCACCACTGTTACTGGTGGTGTTGATGCGGGTTTCAGAGGCGTGATAGATATATGATAGATAGGTCGATTGATGGATAGTTATAGATTGATGGAATTTATACAGAGAGATAGAATAAAATGCTAAAGATAGAGATCTTTAGAGATAGATAGATCAAATTCGATTATATGTATGAATATGATAGACTGAGTTGAACTAAACGATTTGCTTAGATATAATTTTCTCCATACCCCCTCTCCCCCCAACATTACCGTTTATACAAAATATATTTAGTTAACTTCCACGTTAATTATATTCAATTGCCCTCCGACTTTGTAGTAAACGCATTATATAATCCAATTGGTCATGTTGACATTCCACGTTAATCATATGCGTATAACAAATATATATCCGACTTCGCAATTAAACATATTGAACGGTTTTATTGTGGGATTCAGCACTGTGGGTTGTTTTTGAGGATAGGTTCGAGAAACAGGGATTTTTCTGTTTTTAACTTTGATTTCTAATGGAATAATAGAGGTTAGGTGAATGAAAGTGTTTAGAGTACTTTTTTTTCTTGTGGTTGACTTTGCACGTGTGCTTGTATTTATAGGTCAAATGATATAATATGATAGGAAATTATATTCCTGACCTACGTTCACTCATCCTAAAAACAGTATTCTTAGTTCTTAAACCTGTTTCCTCTCTCCTGTGTGCTGATGAGCAGACCCCGAGCGCAAGGAGGGCAGCTGCACCTTCAAGAACACCACCTACAGGCCAGGCGATGTGTTCTATGACGAGTGTGACCTCCGCTGCACTTGCAACAACAACAATGAAATTGAGTGCAAGGTGCGTTGGCCGTTGGAACTATTCAATTTTTGCGTTTTCTGTTTTTGTTTTGGAGTTCGTTTTTTAAGATTGAGTCAGGTTCTGTGAAGAAGATTGCGTGGCTTTGCACTGCTGAAAATTTAGATTAAATTTAAGACTTTTTTAATATATATCTCTTAACAGCCGCGATGCGAATTCTCCCAAGAGGACGGTTCGGAAACGGAGCCCGGATGTGAATACCTCTCAGACCCCAAAGACTCGTGTTGCAAGTTGCGCGTCTGCAATTCTACTTCCGATGCTGCCCCTTCCTTGCAGCAGGAGAGCGCCGTGTCGACCTCCCTAACGAGCCAGAAGGCCGCGGGGATGCCCAAGTTGCTGGTCACTTCCAAGACCCACAGCTCAGTGACTCTTGCGTGGGACGATTTCAGGTACTTTGGGTTGAATGGCGTTGTTTGCTCGTGTGTGTTTGTGTGTCTTTATGTGTTTTTGCTGGTCTGTCTGACTGTGTGCGTCTTTTTTGGTTTTGTTTTCATTTGTTTTTTTTTATGAGCTTTTTGTGTCTGTCTTTTGTCTCTGATTTTTTTTTCTCAATTTGTCCTTGTGGTTCTCATTCTCTATCTTTGTCTTCCTCATGTTATGTCGTTTCTATTTCTTTCTCATGCTGTCTTTGTTTCTCTCTCTTTTCTCCTTTTTCCTGACTCCCTCTTTGTCCTTCCATTACCTTCCATCCTTCTTGTTATCCATCTCTTTTACCGCTCCTTTCTTCGCATCCCTTTTTATTCCCGATTATCTCTTTCCTTCTCTCCCTTTTACATACGTCATGTGAAGAAAACACACGCATTTTGGAAATACCATTATTTTCTATAAAGGAAGAAAGAAAGAAAGAAAGAAAGAAAGGAGGCTAATTATTTGTTTAACTCTTATCTCTTTTTAACCCCCACCCCCTCTGTTTAACTCCCATCTCCCAATATTTTATGCCCACTTTTCTTCTCTTAAACTCTTTATCTTCCTTTTATTTAACTCTCATACCTTTTATAATTAACTCTCTACCCCCCCTTCTGTTTAACCCCCACCCCCTATATTTAATTTCCTACCCCCTTATATTCAACCCCCACCCCCTGTATTCACCTCCCTATCCTCTTATATTCAAAACCTAGTCCCCCTGTATTTACCCCCCCCCCCACAACCCTGCACTTACCCCCTCCCTACCTCCCCCAGGGCCAGGGCAGTAGAGGAAGGCTACGTGGCAGAGTATCGCGAAGTGGAGGGAGTAACGGCGAGCGAGGAACAGCCGTGGATGAAGAAGATAGTGCCCGTGGGTGCCACTCCTCCCAGCCTCACTTCCGTCACTATCGAAGACCTCAAGCCGAATACTATGTACCAGGTAGCTTTCTTTCTTTTTTTTTTCTTAAGATCTGTTTATTTTTTAAGAGCTGTGGGGGGGGGGGTCGTTAGGATCTGTGGGGTTTCTTTGAGATTTTTGGTAAGGTGTAAGAGCTGGAAGGGCCGTTTGCTAAGGATCGCAGCAGTAGGAGTAGAAAATGCAATGCCCCTATTGTCCGGAAATCTCTTTAACTACCTTTTTATTTTTATTAACTTCACGAAATTAAAAAGAAAACGAAACCGTCGAAATCTTTCCGGGTAGATCTTTCAATACGCCCAAATGATCTCCATGATAAGGTGGTCCCCCCTTTCTAAACCAGGAGATTGCGCAACCCCCACGTGATACGAGAAGGGTTCATTGTTTAGTATTCTGCCCTCGACGTTTCTAATGTGAAGTCATTTCTCTACAGGTGCGAGTGTCCATCTATGATGAGGTAGAAAACGGGCGCCTGGCTGACACCACCGAGACCCTCACTGTTAGAACTGAATGTATGGCTTTTGTTTACTGTTGAAGTCGTTGTTATTATAGCAGCAATATGATATTCTAATACTCCGCTATTCGATGTATGATTGTGAGAATGTAATGCTTTGCTTTATTTTTCGGTTGGCTGTGTCATGAATGTTTTGATCTATTTTTTTTAGCTGGCTGTGTCTACGGCAACTCGTCTCATCCTCTGGGAGAATTCTTCATTGGCTGCGAGGAACGATGCACTTGCCACGCGTCCGGCGATGTGAGGTGCTTCCAGCGGTGCACTTTGCCCTATTTCAAGTATGTGTTTCGTGTGTGTGCATGGTAGAGTAGTAGTATCAGTACTGATGATGATTATAAGGATAAAAAAACAGTGATTGTGACGTTAATGATGATGTTAATTATGGTAATAATCATAATTATAATACGATGCTGCTGTTGATGATGATGATGAAAATGATATTAATAATGGGGATCATATTAATGAGGATAATAATAGTGAACAAGAATAATAATAACAATAAAGTGTATAGTTCTTAAAGGTATTGTTACAAAGTAAAATTCGTCATGTGCGTGAAGGTACACATCCTGTAAACCACCATAGGATTTGGATGTAATATTAATAGAAAAAATACTTCCAGAAAAGGGGAGTTCAGCGGAGACGCCCTGTGCCGAGAACAGACAGCCGAGCGGGACAGTTGTTGCGTCATCGTTCGCTGTGCTACGAACACCTCCAACGTCGCTCTCACCAATCTGCGTAAGAACACGTTTTTCTCTCTCTCTCGTCTGCTTTTCTTTTTCTTGGTGTTTGAACGTAAAATTTCCTTCCTTGATTGTGAAATTCAAGGATAAGTATCTAGTACGCGGATGCAAACAGACATGGCACTCTTTGTGATGTACGGTAAAGTACTTGAGTCTGTGTGAAGGATTCATTCTGTATTTTCCAGTTGACACGAATATGCAGGGACTTGAAAATTTATTTATTTATTTTTCCTGTTTTCCCCTTATTTCTTTTATTTGCATAAGATGTTCCAATCCCTCATGCACATGTTAAGCCTCCTCTCCCCTTCGCCAGCCTATGAGCCATGCACCAACATGGTCTGCGGACCCAATGCTGAATGCGAGGCCGACTCCATGACCTCGGATGACCCTGCAGCAGGAGGCAGCAACCTCTCCTTCGCTAAATGTCGCTGTCTCCCGGGCTACGTCGGCGATGCCTCGGACCTGGATATTGGATGTGTGCTAGGTGCGTGGCAGGATTTTTCGTGGGATTCAGGACTGTGGGTCGTGTTGAGGATGGAGACGAGCAACAGGGCTTGTTGTCTATTCTTTGATTTGTAGTAGAATAATAAGAGTTAGTTGAATCAAAGTGTTTAGAGTGCTGAATTTGTTTTCTTGTGGTTGATTTTGCTCGTATGTTTTTATTTATAGGTCAAGCGATATAATTTGATAGGGAATTATATGCCTGGAGCAAAATGAACTATATTCACTCATCCAAAAAATCATAGTAACCTTCGTTCTTCTTAAACCTGTTCCCTCTCCCCTGCGTGCTGATGAGCAGACCCGGAGCGCAAGGAGGGCAGCTGCACCTTCAAGAACACCACCTACAGGCCAGGCGATGTGTTCTATGACGAGTGTGACTACCGCTGCTCTTGCAACAACAACAATGAAATTGAGTGCGAGGTGCGTTGGCTGTTGAATATTTTCAGCTTTTACGTCTCAATATTTGAGTCAGATTCTGTGGGTGGTTTTGCATTGCTGAAAATAGAGGTTAAATTTAAGGCTTTTTAAATATATATCTCTTAACAGCCACGATGCGAATTCCCCCACGAGGATGGATCGGAAACGGAACCCGGATGTGAATACCTCCCAGACCCCAAAGACTCGTGTTGCAAGTTGCGCGTCTGCAATTCCACTTCTGAAGCGGCCACCGATGCTGCACGGGCTCCTTCCTTGCCGTCCAATGGTTGCACGGAAGGCAACATCACTTATGCTATGAATGAGAGGTACTATAATGGCTGTGAGACGCAGTGCACATGCATGGGCTTCGGTGATATCTCCTGCGTGCCAAGGTGAGCATGACAAACGCTGCGTGCAGTTTTATTGTGTATATTCCTTGATGAAAAAGAATGGATAAAACGAAAAAAGGCATTGCTTCATTAAACCGTTAGTATAATATGATATACCATTCGCACAAGTCGCAGGATACCGTATACCTAAACGGCCACATCCACCATTAAACAATCCAGAAAAAAATTAGTCACAAGCATTATTCAACCCCTTCCAGATGTCCACCACTCAAGGTCGTGTCCGAGACCCCCAAGAGGTGCGAGACTCTGCCAGACCCCCTGGACCCCTGCTGCTCCATCACCGTGTGCGACGATGAGACCCCGGATGTCATGAAGGCCAATCTCACAGGTACTTCGAGTTTATGGGGTTTTATCTTGTACGTCGTTGGATCCATAGGCCACGGTTATAGGGACGGGAATTCTGTCTTGTTTGGTAATAGAGCTGTAGGCTGTGTAGTCTTGGGTTGTGCATTGGATTTGTGTGTATTTTTGACTTATGTCTTTGTGTTTACTGAGGTTTGTTTGTTATGTTTTCTTTTTGCTGGGATTGCATTTTTGAATCTCTCTTCTATGAAGCTTATATTGAGTTAGCTTAGATTTTAATACTTTTTGTCTCTTCGAAGGCACTTAACTCTCAACTTGGTTTTACGTTTTTAAGAAGAGACTTAATTAAAATTATCCCCTTTCAGATGAAGAGCGAAAAATGCTGATGGAGAACATGACCGGCATTGAAAAGGTGATGACGATGAAAGAAATGATGAAGAACATGACAGAAGTAGACAAGGAAATCATGATCAATAACATGACAGTTGAAGAGAGGGAAATGCTGGTCAACATGACAACAGCCGAAAGGAAAATGATGAACAAGACAATGTCAGAGACAGAGAAGGACATGGTGATGCAGAACATTATGGACCTGGAAAGAGACATGATGGAGAAGAACATGACAGAGGTAGAGATGGAAATGATGATGAAGAACAAGACAGCCATGGGGAAGAATGCCCACAATCACAGTCACGTGCATGAGGATGGAACTCATTCTCATTCTCATGACCACGAAACGGACGGTGCTCATGCGGGACATGCACACTTCCACACTCATGAGGATGGAACAAACCACAGCCACGCCCATGGAAATATGGAACACGCACCCGATGGAGGAATCGGATGGCATGTTCATGAGGATGGTACGAACCACAGCCATGCACATGAGAGCTCAGCACACACGCATGGCGGTGATTGGCATGTTCATGAAGATGGCACCAATCACAGTCACCCACATGGCAATATGAAACACACTCACGAAGGAGAAGACATATGGCACGTTCATGAAGATGGCACCAACCACAGTCACCCACTTGGCGATAAACCACACAGCCATACCTCAGACGGAGAAATCGTATGGCATACGGAGGAGGAAAAGAACATGGGACACAGCCATGAAGGAATTGGATGGCATGTTCATGAGGATGGTACGAACCACAGCCATGTACATGGCAACATGGATCACACTCATGAAAATGGAACGTGGCACGTTCATGAAGATGGAACAAATCACAGTCATGCACATGGCAACATGAAACATACTCATGAAGATGTATGGCACGTCCATGAAGATGGCACCAACCACAGTCACCCACATGGCGATAAGCCACATAGCCACACTGATGATGGAGAAATCATATGGCATACTCAGGAAAATGACACCATGGACCACATCCATGGAACAAATGATTGGCATGTCCATGAGGACGGCACCAATCACAGTCATGACAGTATGCCACACACCCATGGAGAAGATGAATGGCATGTTCATGAGGATGGAACAAATCACAGTCATGCACATGGCAGTATGCCACACACCCATGGAAAAGATGAATGGCATGTTCATGAGGATGGAACAAATCACAGTCATGCACATGGCAGTATGCCACACACCCATGGAAAAGATGAATGGCATGTCCATGAGGACGGCACCAATCACAGTCATGCACATGACAGCATGGGACACAGTCATGATGAAGATGTATGGCACGTTCATGAAGATGGCACCAACCACAGTCACCCACATGGCGATAAACCACATAGCCATGCCGGTGATGGAGGAATCATATGGCATAGTGAAGACGAAAACAATATGGCACATACCCATGGAGAAAATGATTGGCATGTCCATAAGGACGGCACCAACCACAGTCATGTACATGACAACATGGGACACACTCATGATGAAGATGTATGGCACGTTCATGAAGATGGTACCAACCACAGTCATCCACATGGCGATAAGCCGCATAGTCACACCGCTGATGGAGAAATTGTATGGCACACTGAGGAAGATGACATTATGACACACACCCACCTCGGCGTTCTAGAGAAGAAGAGCAGAGCAAATGACGAAGGCAGCGACGATTTGAGTATCCTGAATGTGACAGCCATCAACGCCACCGCCGCAGAGATCCACCTAGCTGTATCCGATGCCATGCTCGAGGCTTGGACCAGGAATCCTTTCCTGATCGTCCTGTACAGCCCCGACTCCTTCACTTGGTCCAAGAAGAACATTTCCTCCGAGAGCATCAGGGTACAAAACCCCAGAGAGATGTATGTGACAGTCGGGGAGCTGCAGCCATCCACAGCCTACCAGTTCCGCGTCCAGTTCTACGACACCACCAGTTCCACGGCCAAGGTGCAGCTGCTGGACGGCCCTGCTGATCTGGGTAAGTAGGCGGCGAAACGCGCTTTGGATTCCACATATGCATGAGATTTCTCCATACTAGTTCATATTGCATGAAAAGTGTGTTTTCTGTCTCAAGACCAGTCACTCAAAGCATGGAAATATGATTAATTAAATATCATAAGATTTTTCATTTGCATGTGCATCAAATGCATGTATTCATGTAAGCATGTGTAATTGAAGGTTGTGAGCCACAGTGAATAAATGTATTCATGAAAGAGAAAGAAAGAAAGACATTTTGTGTGTGTGTGTGTGTGTGTGTGTGTGTGTGTGTGTGTGTGTGTGTGTGTGTGTGTGTGTGTATGCAGTATGAATAGATTTGATAATAGATTAGAAAGTCGCAGAGCAAGTTTTTTTGTGACAGAGGAAAGACTGACACTTGCAGATAAATAAATAATGAACATGTATCTTTAGATATACGATTCACTATGTTTGTTTTATTGTATGAGTAGATACTATATAGCAAAGCTACCTTGTCTGTTGAAGAAACAGGATCATATGGACACACTTCACAGGTGGATATCTAGGCCTTAATGACCAATTGACTGATTTGAAAGTGGATGTTGCACTTTTCCACTATGCATTTCCGTCCTTTTTCCAGGAACATGTCTGAGAAAATCAGTCTTACTTACTGTACATTATGAATAACATATTAACAGAGCTTAACCAAACAGGGATGGATGATCCTTCCAGTATTCAGCTGTCAGGAGAAGGCTTTCCCTTCCCCTCAGTGCCTAATCCTCATCCTCTCCTGGAGGAAGATCTCGCCGGCCAGCATGAACATCAGAAAGACAGCTCTCATCAGCACCTTGCCTTGAATTCCCTCATTCCCCACGACCACCAAGCAGCATTAGAAGGGGGCCAGGCTGTAGATCTTCAGCATACTACCCAATGGGAAGACCCATCACTAACGACAGAGCATGGGAATTTTGTCATGCCTGAAGGCTCCATTGGTAATGCGAACTTTACACTCGATGTTAATCCCCAGCTGAATGAAGCATCAGACTTAGGGCTACTTTTCCATAATGCCTCCCAACCGCCTCTTGTTAGTGAAAGCAGTTCCAATATTTCGACACTCTTGCCTCAAGGAGAACACACATTGTCTCAAGATTTCGCATCTAATGTCACACAAACTGTACTGAGTGTCACCCATAGTAGCAGTCACCAAGTTTACGACAGTGAAGGAAATCCTTATTTGCCAAGTGAAAACGAGGCAGTATCTCATTCGACAAGCGTGCATGTTGAATCTCACTTGGGCAATCCTGATGATGAAATTCCTCAACCGGGTGCTGTTGATTCTAATTTCACGCAAGGGGACGGTAATAGAACGAGTTTCGAAACAAATGCAGAGGAAGAGAATTTTTATCTTACCGGATTGAATGAAGAGAATGTCCATCTGACAAATGGCACTGAGGCACACTTACATCACGAGACAGGAGAAGAAACTGCTCATTTGGCCCAGAGACAAGGGGAAATCTCCAGTAATTTTACTACAGATGAGGAAGGTTTAATTCCTATTAATCCCGAGGAAAATAGGAATCTCTTCATCCACGAGGAAAATGGAAATCTCGTGCATCATGAGGAAAATTTCCATCTCTTTAATGTAAGTGAGAATTCCCATACATTGCTTCCAGGTGGAGCAGCTGTAGACCCATTTTTCAATGAGGAAAATTCTCATCTCTTTAATACAAGTGAACATGCCCATCTCCCAAGTGAAGTAGACTCTCATTTCTTTATCAGTGAGGGCATCGCTCATCCAGACTCATCCATTACTCACGTAGATGAAGAAAATACAAATTTGACACGGACGGATGAAGAGAATGCTCAATTAATGAGTTTTGAGAGAAATGCTTTTTCTCTACCCACCAATGGGCAAGATTCTCATATACATATTAATGAGGAAAATTCTCATCTGCACTTTGATGAGGAAAAATCTCATTTAGATATTACAACCAATGATACCAATCCATTTATTAATGTCCATATCAGCAGTGAGGAAGGTTCTGCTCTGGCCCAGCCTAATGAGGAGAATGCTTATCTGCCTCAACCTGGTGAGGAGAATGCTTATCTGCCTCAGCCTGGTGAGGAGAATGCTTATCTGCCTCAGCCTGGTGAGGAGAATGCTTATCTGCCTCAGCCTGGTGAGGAGAATGCTTATCTGCCTCAGCCTGGTGAGGAGAATGCTTATCTGCCTCAGCCTGGTGAGGAGAATGCTTATCTGCCTCAGCCTGGTGAGGAGAATGCTTATCTGCCTCAGCCTGGTGAGGAGAATGCTTATCTGCCTCAGCCTGGTGAGGAGAATGCTTATCTGCCTCAGCCTGGTGAGGAGAATGCTTATCTGCCTCAGCCTGGTGAGGAGAATGCTTATCTGCCTCAACCTGGTGAGGAAAATTGGAACTTGCTACAACCTAATGAGGACAATGCAAACGTCTCCCACACGGACAAGGAAAGCGCAAATTTACCTCAGTCAAATCAGGAAAATACGTACCTACCAGAGGAAAATTCTGATCTCCCTAAGAAGAGCAAAGACATTTCTCACGAGCCGGTTGAGAGAAAGGAATTCAAACAGTCCTCCGAAAGCCACGTCGTCGTCGACCCACAGAACATCACAGTTAGCGTTGAGAGCAGCACAAGTAACAGCAGTGACGGGAAGGTCCTCTTGGCCCCAGGACAAGCGAACCCCGATTTCCATCTCGGTGACGGAGACAGGTTTTTCCTCTCCAACGAACACGACGGTCCCGACATCAGCGAAGACGATCACGTTTTGGAAAATACAGATCATCTTGCCCTTGGTCCAGAGGAGCAGCTCCATGCCAGGGGAAACAGCCATTCCACCCACGGCCCAGAAATCCTTTGGGAGGTACCCCATCCTTCAGGAGAAACCAACACCCACACTGAAGGTACTCGGATGTTGTAGATGGAATGGTTGGGAAATATGTATTAGAGCTTTTGGTTGGAGCTTTGCAGCAGTTCGATTTTTTTTTCTTTTTTGGCAACGGAGATAGTCTGTACGAGCAATGGTGGACTGTAGATGTCATATTTGGAGTTTAGTTTACAATTTTTTTTCAGTGGTTCAGGAAACTAACCTTCGCTGAAGAGGAGTCAAAGGACAGAACCATTACAGACACAAGAGAAAACAACAAAATATTGACTGGATTCGGAAACACACCATATACTGCCTGAAGGAAATGGGATGCAGCAATGTACACCACATATTTTGAAGAATAAAACGGCCCTATAATACCTCCCAAAATAAATAAACCGGAAATAGAAATGCTTGCGGCATAGCTTTACCAAAGGGAATAACTCACAGCTTGAATTGCAGACGAGTGTGCTGCTGATCTGCCTTCGGTGTGGCTGGTACTTCACGAATGCTTAAGAAGGTTTACAGTTGAACTATTCCTAACTATTTCTAAGTAGTGTTTTGGTGGTTACTTATGCTGAGTTACTTTTTCGTTAGTTTTTTTTTCATTCTAATCTACGGAAATAAATTCAAATTAATCTCTGATTTAATGCACCCCACAACTTACACAATAAATTAAATCAACTGCATGGTAATAATAAAGCATGTTATTTAAAAGAAAGGAAAATAAATCTTTTCTTATCAAGAGGGATGTTCTTGGTATTATCAAATAACTTTTTTGTGTCCACTAACTATGAGCAGAAACAAGTTTACCAGACGTAAGTTTTATGCATTTTAATAAACTTTCTGCGGGAAT